GTGACTAATTGTATAGATTTTACCATGTTGTACGTTATAATCTCTACTCGGTATTACAGAATTGAATATTTTTTCATATAGACCTATGTAAACTATTAATTATTTCAATATATAAATGTACGAAATAGGAATGTAGGGTATATTATTATCATCAAAATATTCATAATTATGGAGATAATACGTTTAGTAACGAAAACATTGGTGTAATTTTGAATTAATTTAGAAAATTGTGTGAAGCGCCTTCACCAAAAATTATTTAAATACAAATTATATTTATATATGTTACGGAAACATCTTTAGCTACAAGAGATGGTTGTATTAATTTCAAAACATACTATTTTGCGTACTTAAGGATGTAGGGATGATATTTAGGGATTATATGATGATTGAAAAGAAAATCTGCTAACTTTTACTAGTACAGTTGTATTGGCATAAGTTATTAGTATAAAAAAATAGCACGTGTTATTTTATTATTCATACAGGAAATGTCTGCGTAAGTAACAAATGCAACAAAAAAAAAACATGCACTCTTGTACTTAAATAACTGACTTTTACGACTATAATTTTTTATTTATAGAGTGATTATTATTCAAGTGAAATAAGGAAACAATAACTTGTTCTGGTTATTGTGTTCGATCTAGCGATACTTTCACTAATTGTTAAATGCCACTTTGTCTTTATTGTTTCTTAAAAAAAAAAAAAAAAACAACGTGCCACAATGTGGTGTTAAAAAAGGTCAAAATTTAACCTGTCTGCGGGCCTCGACCTTGTTGATCTTAACATTATTTTCTCAGATCAATCGGGCATAAACATTTAAGAATAGAAATGTAAAATAGACAACTACTTTCACTAATTGTTGTAATTAGATAATGTTATTAGTAACAAGGTTTTATTTTATTGTTAACTATTAGGTTTTACCAGCGGCTTAGCTCGCATGGATGTCCTAAATATGTGTCAAAAGATCGTCGTTAACCACATGGTATACGAGGGTGGATTGATAAGTTTCCGGCCTGACCAAGAAAAACAAGGTTTTTAAAAATTTTTTTTTTTTATTTCTCAACATAATCTCCTCCAAGGCTGATACATTTCTCATAGCGGTGTTCCAGTCTATTAATGCCATCTCTATAGACTGATTCGTCAAGCTCCTCAAAATAACCATTTACAGCTTCGATTACTTCTTCATTGTCCGCAAATCTCTTACCGCCAAGCCATTTTTTGAGATTAGGGAACAGAAAATAGTCACTCGGGGCTAGGTCTGGAGAGTAAGGAGGGTGCGGCATCAATTCAAACTTTAGATCGTTGATTTTAGCCGTCGCAACGATTGACGTGTGCGCTGGTGCGTTATCGTGATGAAACAAGATTTTTTTCTTCGCCAGATGAGGTCGTTTAATTTTCACCTCGTGGCTCAAACGTTGCAATAAGTCTGCGTAGTATTGACCAGTGATAGTATTACCCTTTGCAAGGTAATCAATGTATATAATACCTCTTGCATCCCAAAAAACAGTAGCCATAACCTTGTTCGCCGAAAAAATTGTTTTTGCCTTCTTTGGAGTTGGTTCCCCTGGTCCAATCCACTGTTTAGACTGTTCTTTGGTTTCAGGAGTGTAGTGGTGGACCCACGTTTCGTCAACGGTTACGAATCGACGCAAAAATTCGCTTGGATTACGCTTATACAATGACAAATTTGCGGTAGAAATGTTTTTTCGAATCAATTTTTGGTCGACTGTTAGCAAACGCGGCACCCATCTTGCACAGAGCTTTTCCATATGCAAATGTTGGTGCAAAATATGTTGCACACGTTCATATGACATCTTACAGGTCTCAGCTATCTCACGCACTTTCAATCTGCGGTCTCCCAGCACTATTTGATGAATTTTTTCGATCATATCTGGAGTTGTGACCTCAACGGGGCGTCCTGAGCGAGGCCCATCAGAGGTGCTCACACGACCCTTTTTAAACTCGGAAACCCACTGCTTAACGGTTGAATATGACGGGGAGGATGTCCCCAGTGTTGAGTCCATCTCTTTTTTAATTTCCTTCGGCGTTAACCCCTTCAAATAAAAGTATTTGATGACAGCACGATTTTCCTGCTTTTCCATTTTTACGAAAACCACAGAGGCGTCTTGTTCAGCGTGCTGTCAAACCTACACTAGCAAGGAGATCGGGCTGAAACTATAGCTACAAGCTATCCAAGGATGGTACTATAGAATGTCACCTCAAGGTAGGCCTAGTGGCGTCATCTCTTGGTTAGGCCGGAAACTTATCAATCCACCCTCGTATATAGTAATTCTGTTCTGGATAAATGGTACCCTAATCCTTTTATGTACCCCTGACAACGTATGTAAAAAATTTCATTATAACTTTTACCCCCATGATGTCCTAAACGTCTATCAAAGATAACACAGGTCTGCGAAATTTTTTTTTTGAAAAGTTTTTCTCTTAAATTGTTAATGTTTGTCGTAATTGTCTTGAAAGTAATATTCATATGGTGTATACCACGTCACATTAACCCATAAATGCTCAGAGAACACATTTCCATTTGAACCCTTGCCACGTAGTGAGTGCGACGAAAAAATATTCGATAACCAGTGTTTTTATGTTTTTAACGATGCTCTTTTCGATGGTGTTAGTTAAAGTTACCTCCGATAATATTAAAGCATGGAATGATCGAAAATAAACAAAAAAAACGTGATTTTTGAATTGACTTTTTTCTTAAAATGTAATTTTTTGTGTCCTTAAGGTTTTTCTATATGCTTAAAACCTATATAAATCATGACCTAGATATCTAAACATGAAATAATCACCGTTGGTCAAGTCGAAATGCCTTTACAAACTGTTTGATCAAACCAAGTTTAAAGTAAAGTGGTGGAAGCAATACTTTTTCGGGATCATACAATTGACATTTTTCACTCCGACTTCCAATTGCATTCTAATTTGGACATAGAAATACCGAATAACAATGATTTTGATTTACCATAAGTCCACTGTCTTAACACTTCAAAACATAACCGGCATATTTTATCCTAACCCATTGTTTATCTTGGTGACACAACTTCGTTTTGAAGTAAGCTTAATAAGCATTTTTCACAAAGTTTGTTATATTCAATCTTTGCTTAACTATTGCATATTGTCTGCAAATGTAAAAAAAAATACATTTGAATTGTTTTAACAACTCCGAGAAGCCATAGTTAAAGATAAATAAAACACAATCTTTTATTACACGTTAATATTATATCTCTCTCAATAATGGCGCGCTATAAACTATTTTTTTTTCAGGCGGTGTAAACGACTATACTTAGTGACTTTCAGACTATCTAAAATAAAGTAAAAGACAATATAATGCTCAGTCAGAGAGTATTAAATAGAAATATAAACTATGAAATGAATTTTGTGAAAAAAAACAAATAAATTTGCCGACTCAAAGAGCTATATACGTATATGAATATATTAATCTCATCATCATAAGGTCGTCAGTCCTAAGACTGGTTGGATACGTACCTCCACTCTTTCCTATCCTGAGCTAAACTTCGCATTTCCCTAAAACTAGAACAGCCCACATCCTTAAGTATTTGCGAACAGTAATCTAATCTAGGTCTACCTCTACCCCTCCTAACTCCTGTTTCTGCCTCTAATATGTCTCTGACTAGACCTTCATGCCTGAGAAGGTGTCCTACCAACCTATCTCGCCTATTTTTTATTGACTTCCATAGAGTCCTCTGTTCTCCTATTCTTTCCAATACCTCTTCATTTCTAACCTTTTCTACCCACGATATCCTCATCATCCGCCTATAACACCACATTTCGAACGCTTCTAACCTTTTCTTAATATTAATCTACATACAAAAAAAAATGTGACGTAATACGTTAAAACAAAGTTTATATTTGCAAAATGTAGACCAACATTTACATGCTTAAGATAAATTTATACAAAAAACGTTTTTATCGCAAACCTGTGTAATCGAAAATACAACAATTTGACAAATTTATTCCTAAGTCTTAAAAAGATGGAAAGGGTTGTTATCTACCTCTCGGGGATTCGCAAACGTTTGGTTTTCTTTCAAAAGATTTTTAACTTTTATAATAATAATAAAAGAAATCTAGATTGCGGGTCCAGTTAAGTATTTTTCATATAATTTTTGAAGCGTTGTCAAAAATTGATCGTTCAGCTACTGTTTGTTATCGTTAGAAATGTATTTTAAATTTGAGATGATAAAATAACGACATCGGAAATTTTTTTATATTGGAATGTTCGTGTGGTTACGTAAGAAATTCGCAAACTTTGAAGAAGAAGACAAGCAGCAACATTTACAAATATCGCTCAACAAAATCAACCAGGACAGCGCTCCCGACAGTTTAGTACTAGAAGGGAATAAAAGGTCGCAGCTAATGCAAAAACTGACCATGGAAGTGGCAAAAAGGAATAACGAAAACGAAACAGTCCTGAAGACGAACCCATCAGGAGATGCGAGACGTCGCAGAATAAATATGTCGTCGTCTAGTACAGCAAAGAGCGTAGGAAATAAAGGGGACACCACTATCCTCAAAATCAGTAACAATAATGACGATGACGCTACCAACGTTCTTCCAGCAGTTGAAGAAATCTATCAATATGAACGAAAACTGCAAAAGTTAGTCAAAGAAAACGAACATAAAAAAAAAGAGGAAAAACAACAGAAACCCAGCGCTGTTATGGAATCGATCACCAAATTGCAAGACGACGAAATCAAAGAACTATTCAAAAGAAAATTCAGGGAGCAAATGATAAAAAACAACGAAAAACATAACGATCGACCGGACGATAACACGATTGCAGCTGATGATGTTACTACCGAAAACACTGAAACTGCGACCGATATTGGCGGTAAACCTCCTGATAGTACCACAAGGATATGGAAAGGAGTTGAACTCAAAGAATCGGTCTCTAGAGAGTACAGCACCTCGTTTGGTCGCATCACACTTAGAGATAGTGATCTGCCAAAATACATACGAGAAACAACAGATACTTCGCTTGATTTGAGTAAGATTTTTTTCTTGAAACATTTAATAAGGTTATAGGGTCATGGGCAATGCCAAAATTGTTCGTAGGGCACGAATTAAGTACATGAGTATTTATTAGTTCGGTCAGTTCGCTATCATTAGTGTCAAGACTATTTTTTGTGATCTATTCATCAATATTTTATATGCAATAGGATTACCCCCCCCCCCCGCACCCTTCTTTGACTAAGCCCATATATCTACGTGGTATACTTCGTTTACTTTCCGTAGCGATGTGAGCTTCAGTTTGACCGGCGCAAAGTAGAAAAGAACAGCACTAGGCCAGAAAAGGAAGGAGACATCTCTCGGCCAAACTCTTAACCGGTGAGGAGCGTATAATCCGTACAGTACTGCACGGAAAAATTGACCATTTTATCCTTTGCATTGCTCAAATGTGCTGTTATTGGTACCATTTACTACTAAAAATATCAACGAGATGTTTATTTATATTTAAACACATATTAAAGGCTTCAACGCTTGTTTTCGACTCGCACTACCATTCATAATTGAACAAAACTTTTGGCAGATACTGTATGAAAAAATATGTTTAATGAACAAGAGTCGAGAGTATAATGAGCTTTTTTCCCCCTACCTACGATTTTGCCAGCGCGCATCCAAGACATTGGAAGGGGCACTTCGCTACAGAAAGTAAATGAAGTATAATAACTAGACTCTATTGCTATTGAAAGCAACCATTTTCTGTTCTAAATCCTTGATAACATAATTTGAAACGTTTTTAAATAAACTGATACATAAATATGTAACACATAATAGATACAGCAGTTTTCAAAATTGAAAAAATTTAAGTATTAATTGTTTATTGGGGTACTAAACATTTGAAGACACCCCCCTGTATATTTACCTAATATATTTTCTTAGCGAAAAGAAAAGCTTCCATCTTGTCCGATCAAGTAAATAAAATGAAGTATGGGATGGAGAAGTTGAATTCTGTTTTGAATTCCAATTATACAGAAAAGTACAAAAAAGATATCGATTTTCTTATCGCAAATATCGCCCCTCACATACAAAAATGGGAAAAGGAGAAAGAAATTCGAAAATCAAAGCTCATGGCCATTCCGGAACAAAAAGAAGTCCCCACTGTCCCCTAATAGTGATAAAAGTGTATTAATTGTGAATGTCGATATGGAAAATTTTTAGTCCAATAAAATTATCGTCACACCCTCGTATACTCGAAAATATATTTTTAATTTTTTTGATCTCCAAACAGTTGCAACATTCAAAAATAAAACAAATGCATGGATTACAATTATTTTTATTAACAATTAAAGCAAAACACAAATTTAACTTTTATTGCCTGGGTATTTTTTTTTTAAATACAGCCAAAACCTTTACACTATTTTGTCAAAAAAAAAAAATAACTACAAATTTGATTTAATAGTTTGTTTATTCCAAACAGGTGCTTCAGGGTTGTAGGGTTCTTCAATTGTTTCTTCTACAAACTCCACTTTCCATTCGTCAGTTACCAAAACAATACTGTGTGTTCTAGAAATTTCATTACCACGATATATCACAAATAATAATAATAATAATAATAAAAAAAGTATCACATACCTTGTACCATACGAATTTTGAATTTCTACAAAGACTGAACTTAGTTCTTCATAAGCATTTGGCGCCCTCTTTTGCAATTCTGGATCAGGCAGATGCCTTAAAAACAATTCAACATCAATTATAACAATTTTTTATTATTTAATTATTAGATAAAAATAATTAGAATGATACACTACCGTTCTTCCGACTTTAACAACGATATTAATTCGTCTTTTAACTGTTCTCCTTGGCTTACACTATTACATTTCGAAATAATTTCTGAAAATCGTGTTGTTCCATTTTTGACTTTTGTTAATGGTGAATTTAATGGACTGTTCCCGAACCCCAATATTTTAGAACCCTGAAATTCAGCAATATTTGGTGGAGAATTGCTTAAGTGAAACGTTGATGCTGAATCTTCCCTAAAATTAAAAAAAAAATACTACCCCTAGGCCGGTATTTATTAAATGTCAACCCTTTGTACCTAAGTTCGACTGCAACGAAATTGAATGCATTATGAGTATCGTCAGAGTACAGTTTATTAACATATTCGGCACCGGTTAATTCATGTTTAATAAAATCCATGACAATATTTCCTCGTCCTTTTGCATTCTGTTTTCTATCTTCGCCAGTAACGTTTAACAAAGCCCCGAAACGAAACTTGAATTTTTCGCATTTTCTCAACGAAACGCCTAACCATGTACCCCCCTCTCTTCCTTTTTCCATGTCTCTACCTAAACACGTAAAGCGTTGAAATTAAGGGCACGAATAATGAAATCGGGGTGCAATTCACGCGCGTCCTACATGTTAATCCGGTGGAATTGATGTGTGAACTTTATTAATAGGTTTTGAGACAGGTAGTGGCATCTACCGGTATAAAAGTGACACAACAATTGCAATGCAATTTAATTATGTGACAATAAATGAGAATAAAATTAATTAATGACAACTCACCTGCTATAATATTATCATTTGGAAAAAAACGGGCTATATCTGCTGGCCTGCGATAATATTCGTCCCGATTTGAGGCTATTATAAGTCTATATGAGCCCTTTTTTGGATTTGTGTCGACGAAAATGAATAATATACACATATTTTTAAATTAAAAAAAATAAACCTTGACAAAAAATCGAATAATACCTCGGCAAATCTCAACTTATTAGACTTTTACTGCTACAAGTGTGTCAGTGCTACGACATTGCTTTAAACTTGACTACAAATAATAATAAATTAACCAGTTTTTAATGTAATTTCTGCTAACTTTGTTCATAAACAGTTTAGCAACAATTTAGTAAAAACAACAAGAAATGAGTGATGCACCGAGTAAGTTGATTCTAATATTATTGTTGTTAAATAAATTTACTTATCAATTGTCTACGTATTTGTCTACGTATTTTGTTTGTAAAAAAGTTTATTTAGCGTTCCTTTGTTTAAATGTTTAAAATACGCATGTTTTATTTATTTTCCTGGCACAAGGATGGCCAAATAATAATCACGTACCTACTGTAATTACAGGTAAACCAAAAAGAGTTAAAATCATTAAAACCGTACATAGGTATATGTATGTATTTGAAATGTACAGGGCCGCATTGAAGAAATTAGTAGTACAGAAATAATAGCACTTTTTAACACTAACTTCACATACTTTTATGTACTATATATATATTCAAAACGTAATTGTATCTAAAAGGAAATGTTTCTAACAAATTAATGATAAGGTCCTTATCGCATATTATGTATATACATTATCAGTAAACTTGCCCTGAATTGGATTCTTTATCAATTCACTAAAACGGGATGGTGACTAATTGTATAGATTTTACCATGTTGTACGTTATAATCTCTACTGGTAAAGTGTCTGTGAAAGAATGGCCGAATTACGAAGTTTTAAAATTGGTAATTAATTTATCTTTCCTTAATTTGTAATAATTAATTTTATTTGACTTTTTAAAATAAAGGCGTATTTTAAAAAGTGCGTTTTCAACTTTTAGATTTCCCTGATAAACTTCTAATTCAACTCTGTCATTATAAACAAAAATCGAATTGGGATTGTGGAATTTCTTGCGTTTTAATGGTTCTACCACGAATATATAGGGAAAGTCTATTAAAACATTTACCAGACGTTTGTAAAGTGGAAGGATTTAATAAAAGGTATTATTTAACAAAACAGGGTGCAATTTACGTTCACCCTCTTTATATTTATTGACTGTTTCCAAGAATAATACATGAGATTGAATGAAAGTTCAGAGCCGGACTAATTTTTTTTGTTATTCCTATGTCCATGTTTTTCATTTTTTTTTTTAAGTACATGGACAATTGATTTATGTTATCTACTCAAGAAATATAACGTTCAACACAAATTCTACACGATTACGTTGGGTATTCATCCTGGCTATAGTAGAAGTTCGTTTTACAGACACATATTATCCAAGGTAGAATTAAATCTTTTAAAAATTTCGTAAAACAAAGGGGGTTGTTTTAGGATGAGGAAAGGGTTAAAAAAAGATTTGCAGCTGCCAAACAAAATGGTATAAGTGTTAGAAAAAAGTCTTTAAAGATGCAACAAATATTAGACCATCTTAAGAACGGGCCTGCGATATTATTAACGAATGCCAATTTATTATTTTGTGATATTTGTAAAACTAACAGACTGACATCAGAACTTAGAAAATGCTTTCCATGGCCTATCACTTACCAAGGACATTATGTAGTACTTTGCGGTTACAACTGCATCAATAATAAAGTGTATTACAGAAATCCGTCCCTGTCGGACCGTTAGTTAACGTTTTTAGACTATTTTATATTAAAAAATAATATAATTTATTTTAGGTGTTTGTGTAATGTCCTCAAACGATCTAGAGCATGCCAGGAAAAGTTACGGTACAGACGAAGACATTATTTTAATTTATTCATGACGATAGTTTGTAGTATTGCGACTTTTCTATATTTTTTACACTTTTTTGTACTTCCTTCGTTAACTTTTTTTGCGTAAAGGACTATTTCTAAGTAATAAAACGATTTTAACTGCTTAAAGAGTAATTTAAAGTACTCTAAATTTTATTACAGAAAATAAACTACATCTTTCTTTACATTTTTTTTTTTACTTTTAAACATGCCATGTCCCCGTTCAATTTCTACTTGGTAACAGT